GCCAAGGTTGAGAACCACCGTAGGGCAATAGGGCGGCTGTTTAAGTGCACCTGTACTTACTCATTCTACAGCTCATTTACTGCTCTGGGCACTGTGGACACACGGGGACCTCAGACACAGTTTCCACCTGGGGATTCCCATTCTGGGAGCTGAAGGGCACCCAGCTGGAACATTCTCCCATCCAGCGAAGAGTCTAGGCATCTCAAGCTCTAGGTCCTGATGCAGACTGAGGTACCCAGCCCCTAAAAGTTGACATGCCACCCTGCCTCTTTTTCACGCCCACACCCACCCATACAAACATGCTTAGATTTGTAGACACCACACAGTTAGGGCAGCCCTGTGTCCTAAGCACTTACCTGGCCATGCCCTCTCCCTGAAGGTGCCCTGAAGCTGCTGTTCTTGCACGGACCACTCCTGTCTGTCCTGCTGCCTGAACCCCTGGCAGCCTGGGCTCCAGTGTCTCTGCTGCGCTGCCTAGACTGCCACTCAGGCTCAGCTGCGGAAGGACAAAGGGGCTGGACGCCAGGGGGAGGGGAAAAGAGGGTGGAGGGAAAGAGGGGATGCTGGGCTTTTGTTCCACTCACTCTTGGACAGCCCTGGAAGGGAGGAAAAGGGGGAGGAGGGAGGAATGAGCATGCGATTGACTATGTGCAACTCCGGGATCCGTGTGCCTGGATTGGAGTGGCTTGGCACTGACTGCGCCTGAATGATGCACAGGTGTGAGGGTGGGTGCCTCTCCTGGGAGATGGTGTATAGCCTGTGGTGGTGAGCTTTCCGGTGTTCCAGGGTACTTGTATGAGACTGGGAGAGAATGTGGGGCTCAGCAGCCACATAGCATTGGGGTGAGTGTAACCTTGTAGCTGCAGGTGTGACTAAGAATGTGACTTCGTGGCTCGAAGGTCTAGCTTTCATTCCTGCGGTGTGACTGTGCCATGTCTGTATTCCTGCTGATAGCCGACGTCATTGTGGGACCATGCATCTGTTACATGCCTTGTGTTTCCCTATCTCTTTGTCTGTGTCTCTGTGTGATTGTTCATTTCTGTGCCGGTGTGACTGTGCCATGTCTGTATTCCTGCTGATAGCAGATGTCATTGTGGGACCATGCATCTGGTTATATGCCTTGTGTTTCCCTATCTCTTTGTGTCTCTATGTGATTGTTCATTTCTGTGTGTGACGGGTGCATCTCTGTGGACAATGTGTGCATGACAGGGGTCTCTGTCCGTGGACCGTGTCATGCGTGTGAACATCCTGTGGTCCTCTGTGATACGGTATGAGTTGAGGTTTTCACTCAAGAATGTACCTACCTTGGAAGGGGTACAGTAGGACTGGCATGGTGGTTTTGGACAGACCTGGTTGGGGTGGAGAGGAGGAGGCAGCTGTGGGCTGGGCTGGCCTCCTGGAGCCAGAGGGAAGCGACTCCATAGACGGATGCCAGATCATTTGCTGCCTCTACAAAGGGCCCCAGGGCCTGGTGTCCATGGGGTGGATGAACAGATTTAGCTTCACGGAAAAGGACAGCAATTTGGAAGGAGGTTGCCTTGACTAGAACACCAGTGGGCCTGGGGCACCTGTGGTCTGTCCTGGCGTTGCCATGATATGTCCCAAAGCCCTAGACCAGCCCCTCCTTTGGCTGGTCTTTCATCTTGACAGGAGGGATACTCCAGATTC